GATACAGTGTGCTCCGTAGATGCACTTGTGCGTAGGGATATAGTTCAGTGGTACTAAAAATGTAGTGCAAAAGGAGAGTGCTGTTTTCACAGGAGGATAAACCGCTAAAAAGAATATACCTGAAGCATACATTTAAACGGATATTGGATTGTTTCGTCGGGCGTTTTTAAAAGTGTCTAAAACACATTTTTTCTGGTGGCCACGTGCATAGCAACACATAGCTCTGCCACTCCGCCGGTGGTCCCGGTCGGCTTTCCTAACTGGGAGCACGCTGAACAGAATCTGCTGCAGGTAATGTAGCAACTATTCATGAGCACCTCACATATGCCCACGTCAAATAACTTGAACTATCCCTTTAAACTTTTCATGTTTAGAGGAACACTGAAATTTATGCATTTAGACAATCATGTCTCCTTTGACATTTCAGGTTTTAGTCAAATCTTTATTGTTGGAATACTGGTGGTTTAAATTGGCAAAAGTCAGGTCAGTCAGGTCAAATGTGAAATGTTTTAATTGGATTCTTTGCTCTAAATTACTTTCTTGTTTTAGTGACATGCTTTTGAATTTCTGTTTAAAGGATAATACAGGTGGGTTTTTCATGTTTTTGCCCATTTACTATAAACCAAGTATAATTCATATCACTGCTGGCAATTTTACAAAGTATGACGTACATTTGTAGCTTGATTTTCTAGCTCCTTGACGTCGGTTTGTTTCAGTTCATGGTATGATAACAAAATGTACTTGCACAGACTTGAAACGTGTTGGACATACTGTAAGTAGAGTGATCAATCACACTGAACATTTTGTTCTCTTTCACTCTTCTTTTTTTGTACAAACTTACAATACAGCTGCAGGGTGAACCAAATACAGATCACACACTGTTAGGAAAACTCCCCTTGTTTGTGGCATTCATAGGCACTTGACTTTTGACATTTGACACAATTGATGACTTCTGAGATTAGACAGTGGCTGACTAAAATTCTCACACAAGCATCATCCTGCAAGAGAAAATAATACAGAAGAACGAGAAGAAGTCAAGACAAAATGTGGAAAATGGAGTTTTAGCTGTTTAGCAGCCAATTCAACAGTGTCAGTGTCGTTAGAGTCAGATATCTATTTAAATGAAAATCTGTCGGCAATACTGTCTATAAACACTGTCTACTTTTCTCCTAATTTTTCTAATAATGATTAGAACACCCTCGTGTTTAAACATCTACAACACCAACCATTTGTTTTTGAAATGTGTACTATATTATAGATCTACAGCAGTAACCCAATGGTGCTCAACCATCGCATCACATTTGAGCAACTTTCTGGTCACTAACTTCATATATTTGTCTGCAACAGTGTTCACAACCGCATCCACTATTAAGTTAAGCAACATACGCCAACACTTAACATCACTTATTCATTTCTAATCACATATTATTATTATGACTTTTACCGACCGCTGGCCATCCATCATTTTAATCTATTCCAATATTGAATATCTATGTCATTACTACATCACCATCACTGAAAGTCATAGCATTGCTTTCACACTTTCCACTCTTGAACCCTGTTTCCAAATTCTTTGCGGTAATAAAAACCTGTCATTGTATTATTCAGCCAATCCCAACAGATTTTCCACAATTTTGCATCCAGGACAACACAGTTTGGGCTAAAATCACATTGCTCAACATTGAAATCACAGTCATTCATTATGATGACTACGGATCCATCTTTGGGAACATCTTTTAGCCGTGGGATTCTATGTTACAAAGTAAAATCAATGTTTCTTTAGTTGCCTGCGTGACAGGCTTTTTAACAAACTTGTTCTGTCCAGGAGAATTATTTTTATTTCTAAAAATTCTACTTCTGTCGTGTACAGCAGTCAAGCTCTGAGTGTTGTCAAGGAGAAATGTCATAACAGTAAAAAAAATATGCTTAAAAAGGAGCATGGGTTCACATAGGCCAAGAACTAGGAATCACTGGTGATGTCTGGGAGGTTGTGGAGTTCAGAGTGAAAGAGTAAAATCACTGATTTAAACAATCAGGTTTTTTTCTGCCATGTATTAAACCACTCTTCAGTGAAACCCTCTGCATCTGTGTGACAATTTAATGCTGCAGTTAATTTGTTTCTTTAATTTCTCTTAATCTCTACTTGTGTTTTGATCCGACAGAATATGTTTAGAGGCATCCAGAGCTTTAAATCACATCTGTTGAAGAGGACTCCAGCCAAGGAGAGAACAAAAATCTGATTGACAAGTACAAAAACAAGCCTTTCGTCGAGGCCCTGAGCGAGACGCATGATACCTTGAGAAGCGACAAGCCGCCTCCTGTTATTTTTCCATCCAGGAAGCTTTACACGGAAACCGACCAAATTTGATTTAAGAACATTAATTCTATTTATTTGAGGGAGGAAATGAGGTGCTGAGTCAGGGGAGGAGCAGCTGCTTTAAGCACAACAGAAACCAAACGCCTTTTAGTTGTTGGGCTCTGTAATCACCTTGCATGCACAAAGAGCGCTTTTCTCACCCCTTCACGTGTTTATTTTGCGTTTGGACTTTTATTTTGTGTACTTTAGCGGCTCAGGTATGGCAGAATATGAGTGGGAGATAGAAAGAATGAGAAGGAGATGGAGGTGGGAGGAGGAAATGTTAGAAATCACAACACAGGAACTTGACCTCTGTGTGAACTGTAGCACCACTGCCACCACTAAAACAACTGGAAGAGAATGATCCTTAAAATACAAATAACTACAATGTGACTTACATTTTATAAAAAAAAAATACAATTAGGACTGCAACTAACAAATGTTTCCATTATTAATTAATCGGCTAATCTTAACTGTTTAGTCTATGAAATGTCAAAAAAAAAAATCCTTGTCCCAGCTGCCCAGAGCCAAAGGTGATGTGTTCGAATATCTTGTTTCATTTGACCAAAAGTACAAAACTCAAAGATATTCCATTCACAGGGATACATGACAAAGACAAGCAGAACATGTTAATACTGGAAACAGATATTTGGCACTTTTTAAAAATTTTTGCTTGAAAAATGAAATTCGTCAGACTAGTGTGGACTAGAGAGACCAATACATGAGAACTGATGAAGCCGCTTGGATAAGAGGCGAAACGTCTTCCACAGACAAATACAAGTCCAGTTGCCATTTAATTTGAGAGAGAGATTGAAAAATGAAGTGATTAATCTACTATCAAAACAGCTGACGATTATTTGTCTCTATCTACTGATCAATTAATCGACTAATCTTTAAGTGCAATCTTGTCATATAAAATCTGTTGTAAACACGGGGTAGCAACAACAAGAATCATTTGTTTACACTGAATGTATAGCCTATATTGAAAATGGCCGCTTTATACATAATTTAAACATATTGTCAGAAAATGACCAAATTAAACTGCAAGTGCTGACACCTTCATTGCCCGTACAGTGTGTACTTAAAAAGTGACATTTAACATTTTTATTGGACCCTGGAGAGATAAAAAAATAGATTGCTTTGATCGTTTAGGGAAAGAAATCTTTCTCTAATAGGTTCCTCACAGAAACACAATTTGGTCAAAACTAGTAGCTCAAGTAAAGAACTGCATTGAAATGTATATCCAGTAAAAAAAATCCAATGTTAGTTCATTGAAATAAATTCCGCATTATGTGTATGAGTGTGTGTGTGTGTGTGTGTGTGTGTGTGTGTGTGTGTGTGTGTGTGTGTGTGTGTAAGACAAACAATTCAAAGACAATGCTGTTTTCCTCAGAGAGGCACAAGTGTTGACATCAGATCTGGGAGGATGAGCAGCCAGGCGGTGCCCAAGATCACAGAAAGACAGTACGTCAATATACATTTTCAAAATGCCATTCAGGAGAACACAGCAACACAGGAAGGCAGACAGGACAGACAGAAATGAGGAGCTACTGTGAATATATAATCCATGTACAATGAAAGAGCTTTTACCACCCCTAATGAGTCATTATGGTCCATACAGAGAAGATATATGATATATACGACCTCAGCCTTACCAAATCAAAATACTCTACGCAGGAAAAGGGATTTTTGGTAGTAAAAAAGTTTTCTAAAAAGAAAATACTGAAAATCCGGGTCATAAATTCATAATTTGGCATTTTAGCATTTTCATATCTTGAGTTTTTTCGGGGTTTTTTTCTACTGTTGTACTACTGTAGATAAAAAAAAAAATGTTTCATACGTCTGCATTAGAGTATCCTTCCCTCACATATTGGTTAAAAAAGTGACAATGTCAACAGTGAATGTAACCACGAGAGCGCGATTCATAATTCTGGGAATGTAGTCATCATGGTCTGGTGGGATTTTTCAAGGGGTGGGGCATACTCCACTTTCAAATGGGAAACGAGAGAAAAAAAAACTTTGCAAACTTACGCGGCAGCGCAGACAATGAAGAGCTAATGTAACACTAGATATGAGCACACGGAGGAAGAGGCAGAATTCATTTTGAAACATGTTTCCCTCAGCCTGCCTTTCCTCCCTACCCCCACTTCCACAAACACATCCCGGCTCAGACGCGCTATCCCAACGCGGTACAGTTACCCATAAAAGTTGCTCTCCACCATTGACTTTTTCATATGAGTGAGCAGAGCCATATCGACATCCTTACTGTAGTAAGCTACACACACACACACACACACACATACACACACACTCGCACATACACACACACACATACACATACAGATACACACACAGACACACACAGACACACACACACACACAAATGCTACCAAATAAAACACCAGGCGTCCAACATGACAGGTCCGAGCAGAAGCCAATTCCCCAACTAGACCTAGCACGGGGCACGGCTGCTCTGTGAGCTGTATTTTTACTCCACCAAGTCTTGAGTTAAATTCAGTACGTTTCGCTTTTCAAGGACACTGCAGCTCACTGTCACAAGCCGTTTTCTGTCGCGACAGACACAGACGTACTGCCCTGCAAGGCCAACAAGCCGAAAATTAAGGAAAAGCCCGAAAGCGTTTACCTTTTTGCTGTTTCTGCTGTTATAGCCGTTGTATGGGTTGATTCCTGCCCTTGGCGGTACGGAGAGCAGCATTTTTCTCGGCGCTATGTGCGGAGCGGCGAGCACAGCCCAGGCTGCCAGCTGACGTCAGCAGCTGGGGAAGTGAGAGCCTGGAGTCCCGCTGCTTGACTGCGAGTGGTGCTGCTGCTGCAGCAGGACGGGGGCCCCCGCTGCTGGCCCCTGGCCTCCTTCAGGGGTCCTTCACACGGCTCCCGGGGGGGGGGTGGCGGGTCCGAAGAGAAGAGGGGATTAGTTCAAATTCACTCGCCGCCCACTGTTGTTTCACTCACCAGGGGAGAAAGTGTAAGAATGAGTATAAAAGAAGCTTCGCAAAACTGTACTTGTTGGGACAAAACGCCTGTAGAATCAGATTATAGTGTACCAGGTTTTTGTCCCAGGTCCTTATTTCATCCTTTGACCTCATTTCTTTTCATCATTAACTGACACCGTCTCTTGGCATGATTAGTCTGTCCTGTAACATCTTAATTCTTCTGAAATCCAATAATCCGTTTCATTGGCATTCAAATATCACAATAAACCTCTTAGACATTATAAATGATCCAACATAATATGGTATATATCAGCTTTATTCTGACAGTGTGGATGTGTTTTTTTATGAAAAACCAGCAGAGGTTGAGATGTCATATTTGCCTCCTTATCAATACAACTTCGTCAGTCCAAGCCTTCTTGAAATGCTGAAGCTGATGAGAGCAGGCTTATTATCTGTGATAAGGACATAGTATAGTAACTCCACCATCTTTTAATCCAGCTAGTGTCCTTGCACCCTCTTTGGTTTCGATCAAGTTAAGTCAATTTATTTTTTGAGCAGATTTAAAAACGAATGAACATTGACCAAAGTGTTTTCTTGAGAGATTTAATCATCTGACTATTTGATTACAATAGAATAAAAAACACAGGAATTATCAAAAGAAAATACAGATACAGAGATATAGATAAGAGGATGTATGTAAAGTAATAACATAGAACACATAGAAACACAAAACATAGAATATCTTGATGAAATCATAGCAAACAGCATGGCACAAACAACAAATAAAATACAAACAGATAAAAACCAGAATGTGGTGAGGCATGTCTGCATGATGACACCTCAAGAGGCTAAAGACAAGAGATGGGTGTGAAGATGCTCCATCACCTCCGGGTGTCGGGAATGGAGAGCAGCGATTGGTCAGCAGATCTGAGGGGTCTGGAGGTGGAATAGGGGACGGGCAGTTCAGAGATGTAACCTGGTGCCAGTCCATGCAGTATTGCAGAATCTTAAAATCAATTCTACTTAACTGGTGACCAGTGAAGATAGGCCAGTACAGGCGAGATGAGGTCTCTCTTCTTGGTACCAGTGAGAAGTCTCGTTGCTGCATTTTGAACCAGCTGCAGGCGAGATAGGGCTGTCTGACTGATTCCTACGTAGGCAAGAGGAGATAAAAGCATGAACTAGTCTCCAAATCTGCTGCTGTCCTCCTCTTCGCCGGTGTAACCTTGTTTGTATTGATTTCTCAGCACTCTTTAAACTTTGTAGGAGAAATTTGCAAAAAAACATCTATAAAGTTATAAATATTTTTAGCTAGGAAATCTGGGTCATATCAGTTATGTGATAAACAGCCTATTTGAATGTTGATTTTCAAACTAAAACTAATTTTTTAAGAGTTATATGTGACAACTGAAGACTGCTGATGTTTATGTCACCCAATCCTCCAGATTTAAGGATGATTGCATGATTTTACCAGATCATTTTCTTAATGCACGTCTTCTTAAATGGAAAGAAAAATTGTGTCAGTGTGTGGAATTTTTCAGCGTACTGTTAAACATTTCATTCCTGTAAAAAAAACACACATTATATTTTTTCTGTGATGAAATGTCAATGAGAAATAACCTGTATAATAGAAAAGACGAGATTAGTCCGTCACATCTACTAAACCTTTAAAATGTATTCACAGTTGCACAGGGGCGAAAAATAACTTAATGGGATCATAATGTCATTATTAAGGTTTTCCTTCACCGCTGCCACTTCCATTGCAGTCATTACCTCATCAGTACCTTTACTATGAAACTGAAAAAAAAAAAAAAAAAAAAAGAAGCTTTTTTTCAGGGGCTGAGAAAAAAAACCTCAAGCTGAGTATGTTGTTTTCAGACTGAGGTCCATATATGGAGCAATTTTGGTTATGTGTAGAGACAGCATTGTGGAGATAGAGCAAAGTCCACTTCTTGTTTGTGACAACCCTGCCAACTTGGTTACGGCCAAATTGCCTTCGGTTGTTTACATCAGTGATGTCAGTGACAACAGGACCTAAGAGATATATTATTTGGATCAGTTGAAAAGGCAAGAAGCTGTATTTTTTTTATCTGAAACACTTCAGTTAAATACAAGTTACATATGATCTATTTATGTTCAGTAAATGCATCTGTAATATACTGATTGAGTTTTTGAGTTTGACCAAACTAATACATTTCTCGAAAATTTTGTTGTGTCTTATGTAATGGATGGGAACAGATGATGATTAGAAGTCTGTTGCATGGTTTGGTTTGGTGCTGCTTTGCATCTGACTGTAGCTGCTGGTGATTATGCTGCCTTCTCCTAAGCAATCCATTTCCTCCATTAATATTTTGTCATTAATTATGCAGCACAATACTGATGCAAAGCATTTTCTCACAAAAAACATCCGACAAACTGAAAACTCTTGAGGCTGCTGTCGGAGGGAACCACCAGGTAAAGCACAGTCCTACCACTGTCTTGGAAATACACATCTGCATGATCCATGGTGATGTGGACTGGTCATGGTGTGACGCAGGAGGTCGAGTATAATCTGGTTCCTGCGCTCACAATGTCCCGCAGCTTCCTCTGAAGGTCAGAGACGAAGGCTGTTAAACAGCAGACACACACACAGGGTACTAAACCTAAACATTTGCCATCTGAGTGCGAATGAGCAGTGTCCTGAAGTTACCTTTCACATCTTATCCATGGCTGCCTACTCACTGACTCTGGCTTCTTATCTACTTCTGCTATATTTAAAAGCCTTTTCACCATCTCCCCGTTGCCAGCGATTGGCTGGGAGATGTATCCCAACACAGATGGCAGCTGAAACCTGAAGCTTAAAATGCAGTGGCATTCAATATAATCAGCCCTGGTTACACTACAAAGCAATGGGTATTAATGACGCTACAAAGCACTTCTGCTACTCTTAATCTCTTGAGGTATCCAGCAAGTATGCAACCTATAAGTCATATTCTCCATCTGTGTGTTATGAACAGCTCATTACGCATTAACAGGAATCAGTGTTATTGTTTGACACCTGGGACTGTGTGCAAAAACCCCTGTAAGTCAAAATATGATTAATATTTTTTCCATCATGCACACAAGAACAAAACGTGACACAAGCACAGAGGTGTCGCCAACCACAACTTTTGTAAGCACAAGCAGTCTGTTGGATGGCTGAACACAGTCTAAGATTGCACTTTAATTTTTCAACAACTGGTGGGCAGAACTGACTTCCCCTCTGAATGTATGTGCCTGTTATTCAAATGAGGGAGCGGAGCTGTAAAACTCTGCCAATCCCCAGTTTGTCTCTGCAGTTTGCCTGAAATAGGTTTTGCTTTAAAAAGATGGAAATAAGTGCATAAGATAAATAATTAAGCCTGTAAAAAAAAAAAAAACATTTGTCCATATTTTTACAATTATTTCAGTCTATTATTTTATGGTTACTTTATCTCAAGTTAAAAACATCACAAAATACTTGTTCCACTGCCATTTTGCATACACGGGGCAGTACAATATAAAATATGGCAGTGTGTGAACAGTATTTCTATGAATAAGCGCCGTAAGCACTTTGCGTTGGTGTCTGTTTCACTCAGTCCAGCAGCTCGTCTGTGGGCTGTCCCTCCGTCTGCATTTAGGAACACACCAGTGACATTGTTGCACTCAGCAGAACCTCAGTCTGGCACAACCAGCCACTTTGACGACATGAACATTGTTTGGACATCAACAGGCTCGTTGCTAAGTAACCTAGCCCCCTCCATCCCAAGTGTTCTGGCCTGTGAATCTATACTTATTACCTCTAGGGTAGCTAAGCAGTGTGTGTGTGTGTGTGTGTGTGTGTGTGTGGGTGTGTGTGTGGGTGTGTGTGTCTGAACTGCCTAATGGTGTGTATTGAGGATAGAAGAGATGGTGCATTGCCCAATTTCTTTCACTTTAATTTATTACGCCCTCAATGTGGGAGTGAACCCAACATTCAAGTGTCTAGAAACACAGGTCAAAGGTCCTTCTATAAAACTGCTTCATCTGGTCCAGTTTTTTTTGGTTGTTATCTAAAAAAAAATGTTAATCTTAATCTCAGTTGATATAAAAGTAAATCTTTCTTTGCAATTTCAAAATAAAACACAACAAAACTACTTCAACAACTATTCAAATACAACCTACTTAAGGACAACAGCACATGCTGAGGAAATACCACCCTTCCACCCTTTGCCTGCATTAACAACACACACACACACACACACACACACAAAACAGCATCAATGCAGTGGGGGTGAACCTCTGTCATCAAAGTGAGCTGTTGTTTGGGAGGAAGGGGAGCCTGTGTTAGTGGAGGAAAGTGGATATGAATGGCGTGGAAAGGTTCGATGAGTTCATGTGTGAGTGAGGGGTTCGTCCATTGAGACTGCCAGTGTGGGGTTCAAGGTCAGAATAGCTAATAGAGAGGGGGAAGATGCCAAACGGTGGTCAAACACACAGAAGCGGACAAGAGGGTTAAAAGGGAAAGCTGAGAAACTGCAAAAAAAAAAAACCCAAAAAAAACACTTTTGTTACTAAGCGAATCTGTATTTTATTTTTTAAATCTGTATATTTTGACTGCCTTGCCTACATTTGACTTCTGCTTTACATCAGAAACTAGTCAACTGTGACCTGTGTCTAGAAGGAATCTCTGCAAACATGGGTTAGACTAAACAAACTGTAAAACTTACATGTATGTTTATCACTGAGCGTTATCATTACACATAAACCACTCATCCAGAAACAGCAGTTCTGTTCTGGTCTGTCAAAAATAATGACGTTAATGTTT